CTTGCGCTCAAGCATCTCGCAGAGAGCCTTGTGCTCCCGATGGTGGGCATCAACAAGGGTCTGAAGAGCAGTTATCTCAGCCCGAGACCGATCAACAATCCCACGAGCTACCCTTAGCTCGTCACGAAGAGATGTCAGAGATCTCTCGTTCTCAAGCTGAGCAAAGGCAAACTCAGCTCGATGCTTCGAGGCAGTGTCCACCATCTGGAGACGCCTATTCCGCTCATGCTCGAGATCGTCGCGTAACCCTTGCGTTACGCGATCAAAGAAGCTCTCGGGAACACACCGATCCACATGATCGTGTGGAGAGCGTCTTTCCTCCTCCTCCACCTCCATTAGAGGACTCTCGCGGTGGCCAGCGCTATCTAGTTGAGCAGCTGTTGAACCACCGCGACGTAAACGGACGTCGGACGAGTTACCTCGTCCGGTGGCGCGGCTATCCCCCGTCCTGGGATTCTTGGGAGCCCCGCTCCCAATTGATGGTTGACGTACTGGGTCTGGTCGAGCAGTACGACGCGACACATCCTGTGCCGCAGAAGGACCGCCGGAGAAAGTCTTCCCGGCACGGTCGTAAAGGGATTTCAGGTTGTCAATCCCTTCGTACATCTCAGTAGAGACACGTACGCGCCACCACGGGCTGGTAAGGAGGTAAGCCTCCTTAGGTGCTCGTGCAGAGTTGTTCACACAACATGGGCACGAGTCTCCCCAAGAGAGGCAGGGTAATCCTTTCTCCCTTGACAGACGATGCAGCTTATAGCGTGCACCTGTCGGGGTTCGCTTTTCAAACTTATCACGAGCTTTGATAAGTTTGTCGTTCCAAGCGTCACGACCTACATCCTCGAGATTATGGATGTAGGCGTTCCACGCCTGAAGTAGTGAGGGACCATCACGTTTGTGATTCCCACTGTACCATCGATGTCTGAAGAAAGCATCGATGAAGAACTCATGTTCAGCGCGATAGTCTTTCGCGCTGGGGTCAAGGTGATGAATCCTCGACGAATCGAACAATCGTGTTCGATAACGATCACTCGTCGTCGCCGACAAGTGATCCATGACGGATTTAGGAGGCATCCATGCCTTCTTTTCTGGAGCGAGACGCAACACATTGCGGTCCCGCTCTTCCTGCGACGTGCCGACAGAAGTACTGGCACCTCGCTGTGAAGTGGTGTCCATTGGAGAAACGACACCACTATTAGCGCCCGAGTCTCGCGACCTCGAGCGCCTTTGCTTCGGCGATGGTTCATCTGACTCATCAGATGAACCAAAGATGCTGCGACGCAAAGCATCGTCCATGCCACGCTTGGCAGGCGGCTTGGATTCAATTGCCGTCGATACGGATCCGTCATCCGTATCAGGAGAGTACGAGACACCGAGCTCGTACTCTGTGAAGACACGAGTGTCTTCATGACCAGCGCCTACATCACCAGGTGATACAGGCTGAGTCGATTCAGCAACCGATGGGATATCAGTTGCTGTAGTTTCTGCTTCGGCGTCCGCACAGAGACGTGCAGACGCGCTCTCGGCGGCCTTGCTCGCGCATCGCATGGGCTTGTTTACCATGCGATGAGATGTTGGAAAGTGGACGCGGACCAACAAGTGCAAACCCCGTCCCAAATGATTTGGGACGAGTATCCATTTAGTCAATCAGTCACTAAAGTGACTGATGGTTAAGGGGGGTGATGTAACGGGGTGAATCGTTACATAACAATTTATAAGAAATTGTTAATAGAATATAACTATAAGAGTTATATTCTCAGAATATTGTCATAAGGACAATATTCTGTAGCACTTCCAAGTAGTTCCTAATTGGTTGATATAGGCCATTATATCAACCAACGAAGACGCGCCACGACAGACGCACGCAATGAGTGGTGAGCAGATAACTGATTTACACATTTGTATTTAGACATAGTTAGATGAAGATAAATAGTGATTTATTGCAGACATTAACTATTATAAATACAGTTCTACTTTTTACTTTAACCAAGTACTCGCTTCTTCTTACCGTCTTCCTCTGCACGTACGAGTGTACGTGAAGTTACGAGGCACCGCCTTATTCTGTTATCAGAATAAGTAGCTTGTACTGTCACCAGTACAAGCTTCAGGGTGCCCCGTTACAATGTGCCTTCGATTCCTGCTGCTCGTGTTTCTGCTGTGTGAATATAACCTGCTGCGGCAACTTGATCTTGATAACTTTGATACGTCCATTGACTTGATCAAACTGGCACATTGGCCGTGGCTTTTGAAGTCGATCTGGATCACTAATATGGGCTCTGATAGTGCGTTGACCAAATTTTTTGATATCGCTGATTCGAGCCGAGAAAGCGAGCGAGGTGTGGCAAAGCAAGAGATAGGACATCTCGATTCTCGTGCTATTCCACTCGATCTCGTTGGTTACGAAGACTTAGTCGAGTAACTCGAACGTCTACGCACATGCGCTACGTTTTTGTTGCCTCGAGTAAGTGCAGTAATGATGAGCCTACGGACCACTAAACAAGGCGCATCATTTCAAAAGTGCTAGCGTTCTCTGCGCTCAAGTTCTGTTCACTATGTCGTGGGCTCATCATCGTTGAACCAATGGTCTTGAAACAAAAAATATAGGTGGTCACCGTCGCTGAACGTGGCGGTAAAGAACTCGGTGCCCATTGTCTCTAATTCTTTGAATTTTACAGTGGCTTGATAAATTGTCAGAGTATGCTGCCCCTCCATGTGTGGGTGCTCTTGATGACCCTTGAATGTGTTAGGGCGAAATGGCCCGCGATCGATGCTGGTGTAGGTAGGTAAACACAAGTGCATAAGTGCTCCACACGCTTCAGTCAAACATATTGAGGAGTCCGTTTGACGGCAAAAATACCCGTCATTTGGCGCAGATCTGAGCAACTACGGGTCCGATCAAAGGGTGAACATCTATCTATTCTAGAGAGCGGAGCAATTGAATTTTATTCGAGATCGCGTCCGCATGCACTATTCGACTTTGCTCGAAGGAGCCAGTAGCTGGTGGGAAGAAGATGAATGGGTATTATCTTACCATCACCCTTTTCCGGAAGCATTAGCATCCAACGACGTCCAAGTACTGGCACTGCACCGCTTTTGGGGAACGTTCGGATGGAGTAACAATTCGTGGATTCGCGACGGGCAGGGTCGGCAGCTTGTACGCTCCAAATACGACCGGATAGCTGACTGCTCCATCTCGGACTTGCACATTCGCAGAACCGGACCGAAAGAGTTTATCTTCAGTATCTCACTGGCTGGACCTGCCTCTAAGCATCACTATCAGCCAAAGTTAAGGCGCTGGGCTACATCTATCTTGCTCGCTTCGCCTTCTATTCGAATTGGGTCGGAACTAGCGCTGGAACCGAAGTTAGCACTTCGTCATGCGCCTCCGTTTCGGTATCATTTTGACTTTTCGACGGTGCGACATGGTTACGTCGTCGGGAATAGACGGGGGTCTGCGGATAACGGGTGTGAGCACGTCAAATTGCGGCAAAGTGCCGACGGATTTAGATGGTTTTTTACCACATCATTACCTGAGTTGGTTACTGAAACTGTCGCTGAGAGGGACATTTGGATGAGCCGACTGCGGTTACATGGTGTCGTGTTTTATTCACATCCTGATCATCATCGATTTCCCTGGGCTGTGGCCAACAGTGGCGAACGTTTCGATTAGGGCGACAATTGCCCGGCTAGCGTTCAGACTTCACAAACGACTGCTTGCTGTCCCTTTGAAAGGGCTGATCCAACGGTTGAAACAAGTCATCAGCAAGGATGGCTGGTTGCGTGCAGCAGCTCATCAACGCCCGTCTCAAGTTTGGAACCATACTAATGGCCTTTCGGATTTTCAAGTCTGGACTTGCTACAGAATCGCCACTAATCAACTTAACCTCTACCATGATGGTCGTCGCGCTGACAACAGCTGTCGAGCGCTGATGGAGTGTTGGGGGCGTAAAGAAACGTCGGCTCACATCTTTTGGGAATGTCCAAAGGCGCGCGCCTGCTGGAGGCGACTTATCTGTCACTGGACGGGTCTCCGAGATGTGAGGTCTGTTGATGCGACCTGGTATTTTGGCAGTGTGAATCGTCAGGCTCCTGCATTACCGGCAAGGCAGCGACAACGCCTACATGAACATTTGCAAGACGACTTGGAAGCAGGGGTCATGGTTTGGAATCGCATATGGTTTATTATGTGTAGCGTCTGTTTAACTCACTTATGGAGTGAACGAAACGACGCAGTATTTCAAGGTGTGCGGACGACGGTTATTCACAGCGTCACCCGTTTTTGGAAGGTGGGGATTCGGCATCTCAGCGCGTTAGCGAAACGCGAACATCGTGGTCCCGACACAGTCGTCGCCGGGGCTCTCTTACATGCCTGTCTTGACCTCTTCACTCTCGAACCGCGGGATGAGGTGGTCTTCGCAGGAAGCAGCTACGACAAGCTACCGGATCCGGAGCTCTTGTCCTGGCTCCAGAGTTTTCAGACATCTTGTACATAGGTAAATGTTAATAGACTGTCATGAAATCTCTCTATCTATTCTAGAGAGATTAGGCTCAAACAAATGCAGAAGTTGGGGGCGAGGCTATTCCGTACTTTAAATTTTGCTATTCGTACTGCGAACGGCATCAAACGTTTTTACGAACAGCTAATTAGTACAATAGTTAATTTTTATCGGTATAACGCTATAAATATATAGAAGGTCAAAGGTGAGAAGATTAAAGAACTTCTATTGCCTGGATTTAGAGCTGAGCCTTAAGGACGGGTTGAACATCTCCAGCTGGAAGAATAGCAATGTCCGTAACTATCTCTGGATCACTAAGTGTTGCTGACTCATCTAGCCGAACCTGGTGTGACGACACCTGCACCCGATAGTCTACAAAGACTAGTGTTTTAGCACAAGCAAGCAGCTACTTCCTGAATACAACTCTGATTGAGCATGCAGCGATTTCAGTCAATATACTGACGAACGCCATCGTGTGTCTTGACTCGATGTTGGCTCGCGCTTATCATGGCCATCATCTTCGGCTTCGTGGTCGTCAACGCCGACTATACAACGTACCAAGGGCTGCACTCAGCCATAAGTATCATTTTCATGACAGCACTGTATCAAGGATACGCGACGTACGTTGCTTGCCTGCCTTCATCCCTGGGGGAACGAGTCGTCTACTGCCGCGAGTGCGACGCGCAGACGTACAACACTCTCTGGTACTTCTTCGGCATCACGAGATCCCCTACGTCTTTGGCAGTAATCTCCTCTTCACCATTGTCTTCTCCCCTCTCCTCGGCTTCCGGTCCTCCAGCACGGCTGTTCTACAGGCTCAACATCTCCCTCTCCGTGCTCATACAGACGCTCCTGGGCCAGCTGCTCGCCTACTTGCTGTCCAGTGGCGAAGTCGTTGCCGTTGTGGGCGTCCTCATCAGCATCATGTTTCTGCTCTTTGCTAAGTTCAACCCGCCTGCTGCTGCCATCCCGGACCGTTACCTATATATCTTTGACGTCACTCCACAGCGCTGTTCCCTCTCGATCCTCGTCTCGCTCGTGTTCGGCAACTGTCCTGAAGATCCGGTGTATGATGAAAGATTAAGGGACTACACCAACGAGCGGTCGGAACTCGCGTGTTAACCCCTGCGGAATGCAGCGCCGTCATGCAGACACTTGTATCTGCTGGTCGATAGTACTGTATGAATGGGGATGTCGCCATGTACAGTTTGCTTTAGGTCAGCGTGCGCACTGCATGTACCGTTTGTCGGTATTTTAAGCCAAAAGACGATAACAGATGAATGTTGTGTGGTCTACGAGTCATATAAAGCTAGCATTAAGGGTTACACGCAAAAACTAAATCAGTCAAAAGAAGCTCTTTTATCTCCGCACCTCTGAACTTCTATATATAGCATGATACAGATAAAATCAACGATTAATAATTAGCTGTTCGTAAAAACGTTTGATGCTGTTCGCAGTAGGAACAGCAAAATTCGAAGTAGGGAATAGCCTCGCCCAACAGCAAAATTCAAAGTACGGAACGGCACACTAACTATTCTAGACTTTAAAGCTAAGAGCAATGGTGTAGTAGTAGTAGTAGTAGTAGTAGTAGTAGTAGTAGTAGTAGTAGTAGTAGTAGTAGTAGTAGTAGTAGTAGTAGTAGTACAGTGCAAGTCACTTAGCATTAGAAACAACTACAAAAGGGGCCAAGTTTTGCCCCTAAAAAAATTGTAAGCAAACATGAGGAGTTTTCATTTTCATTAGGTGAAAACCCACGTGACTCTACCTGACTCATTTCTCAAATGAGTACTTTTGACAACTTTGTTTATTTTGTTATGAGGCATAAGGTATCTGTTCATTGGGTGGTGTGTAATACTAATATACGAATAAATCAACACACTGATACAAAAGATTGAATTCTGCATGTGTGCATAGGTGTGCGTCGACAACGCTATATAACCACCGGCCGACCACAGCACTTCAATGCCTCCTGATAACAACCGGTCAGCATCTCAACGATGCACGAGAAGCGAAACGTCTGCAAGCTCTAGCGAGCGTCCCCTCTGATATCGAACTGTCAGCCTTCAGCAGTGGCTCTGAAACTGAAGACGACACATTCAGCAACCTCGGACAGGCTGGGGAGGATGTTCAAGTTAGTATGAGCGAATAAGTCACTGAAGACCGGGCAGCCAAAGTCACTCTGTGCTTACAGAACCTCGCGGTAAAGAAAGGACGGCCGTCAATTTACTTGGGCAACTCGCGCGACTGAGGCGTATGCAGAAGCTGTAACAGAAGAAAGCAGCTACAGGGGCATGGCCGCTGAACAGCAAATGTCAAAAAAATTAGGAAGTGGGAGTCGAGCGACAGTAGAAAACTAGATAGAAAGCGGAAGCAAAAGACCCTGAGGAAGAAGCTGGTACTTTCGCTGCCTGGGAGGATACTGCCGTGCCGCAAAGAGCCGTCTAAAAGGGACGCACCAGTGTAAAGGAAGTTCCAAGGTTGAAGGAGCTTGTTGCGCGGCCATGTTGACGTACATGCGTCTAATCCAGAATACTAGATCAAAGATAGCCACCAGCGAACTTGCAGCTGAAACGTGCGGCAAAGTTTCTACTTTGCACGCTCATTTAGTACCTAGGCAAACACGTTTCTGCTTGACGAATGACCTTTGCATTGCCTCCAAGGAAACCATGCAAAACGCTGGTCGTTTCTGTGGGACAAGGATGCCCTTAACGATGTTCAGTCCCTCCTTCGTGAAAAAAAATATAGTGTGGAAGTGTGGATTCGGGAGGGATTACATCAACTTTGAAGTTTGCCGAAGCTTGCTTACGCATCATCCCGAATATTTCAGAGAGCACCGCCATTCGCTGGTTGAAAAGCCTTCGGCCTCAATACTGTGAGGTCAGGAAGGCCATCTATGTGGACAGCCATGAGCGCGACGACAGCGTGGCATATCGAAAAGTATTGTGGAATCAATAGCAGAATTTTAGTCACAGATGCCTTAATTAAGTGGTGAAATGCTGATGAAAATTACATGGCCAGAAGAGAAACCTTCAATCTTGGTCACCCATATTAAAAGCTTCTTTGCGGCCTTTGATGGACGACAGCGGCTCTGGTTGCCAGATGGAGAACAACCACTACGGACGAAAGAGGCTGAACAATTGCTTCATGTCACTGATATTCGAACGGACGTTGGTAGGCGCTCGGCACTCGAGGACAACGACACAGACCTACCGGAAGGCTCCTCAGGAAAAATTGCGTGGTCGTCAAACCCAGAAAATACTATGATGGTGGACAGCTCAAGACCTGGTAATGAAAGTAAGAGATCGGGCGGTACACACTTCTGAACGCCGTTTTCCAAGGGCACAGGTACTTTTTTCATACGACAATGCCACCAGCTATGCCCCTTCTGTGGCTGACGACATAATGGCAAACAAAATAAACCTTTCGCATGGTGGAAAGAAGCCAAAAATGCGGTGATATTCACATCTGGTTTGTCGAATTATCTAGCGACACTTATCTACCGTACTGTGTGCTAATTGAAGTATTTACCGCACAGGGAAAAATTTTGTGGTGAAGACGGGCAAATCCAATGTATGTGCTTCCCGCAGGACCACCCTGATCCGGCTCTAAAGGGCAGTAAAAAGAACCAAAAATCGTGCTACAAGAACGTGGTCTGTGGATATTTGGGTATGACTTGAGTGCAAAGACGAGTGTGAGGACTCGAGGATGTGCTGCGCCCGTTTTATACTGACCAAACAACCTAATTGTGTTGGTCAGGTTGGAAGGCATGAGGAGATTATCTTTTTTGAAAAAGGTTACAAGATCATCTTTTTACCCAAATTTCATCCAGAACTCAATCAAATCGGATGGGTAGCGGCAAAGCGTTATGTCAGGACGCATTGCGAATACACGTGGCGTAGTCTACAAGAAACGCTGTCAAGAACCCTAGACTCCGTCAGCATAAAAGAGGTCCGCTGGTTTGCCCGTGAAGCGCAGCGGTGCATGGATGCATTACAGAAAGGTTTCACGGGAACAGCTGCAGAATATGTAGTCAAGAAGTACCGTTCACACCGGCGCATACCATCCACATACCTCGATCAACGTTATTTTATCGACAAAATCAGTTTGTTAATTTTTAATCAGATTTAAATTAATCACTTAAATTTAGATTAATTTTTAATTGATTTAACCTTGTCCACGAAATCCGATTCTATAGAACTGCTCAGTAGATTCTTAGCTTTTAAGCAATTCAAAAAGAAGCCTAAGGTGTTTTAGTTGCTGATTATAAGTGACATGCACTCTAGTGCATCCTGAACGTCGATAAAGCGTTTATGCCCTATACGATACCGTTGAGCTACTGCCTAGAGTACGTCATCTTCCACTCGCTGGCTCAGTATTCTTGATGCGACTCTTCGGTTATTACGGGAGCACTTCGCAGAGGGCAGAGGAATCGAATATATCTAGTACGGGGTGCAGACAGGGCGCTGAAGCTGCAGGTAATACTGGGGACCATTTAAATCAACCCCGATAGGCCGCTGACGCACCTAGACTGAACCGATTTAGATAGCGTTCAAGGCGTTTTTACATCGTGGAATTCGATTGTCAAGGTCGGAGACCCGGACCAGCAATCCGAAGGCTGAAGTAAAATAGTAGGTAATAGGTTAGTAGTTACAACTAATGTTGCCGAGCTCCTCACCCCGGCACAACTTAGTTGTTGTGCCCCTATGGGTTTAAAAAGCCACGCAGCCTCCAGTAGTCATGTAGCGGCAAGACGGCCTACCCCTTTAAATTAGGCCCACGATCAAGGTCTTCCCACCCAGGGTAAGTGTAACGGGGTTACAAGCAGTTATTGAACCGGTTCTGTTGTGTTTCCACACCAATTAAAAATCGGTGGATTTGAGTGGTTTAGTATTGGTACCATGTACTTACGGTAATTCCGCACTTTATCAATTAGGGATACGAGACAAGACTTCTGTCATAGGATCGCAATGTAGAGGTCTTCCAATATAGATTAATGGAATTATTACCTCCTTTTTAAGTAATAAATAAAATTCAGATCCCCCTTTGAATAGTAGCACTCTATTGCCTAGTCAAGGCGTATTGTTTTTTAAGAGTATTAGCCTTGTCAAGTCCATTACTCTTATTTAACTACTTTTTCTCTAGTTAGTTTGTGATTCTGTAAATCGTAAATTCATTGGAACTGGGATTATTAATCTTGTACGCTTACAAGAATTTACTTCGTAGTTAGATTATCAAAACTAAAAGACTCCTTCAGTCTAAGACTTCCTCTGTTAAGGAGTGCAAAGTAGCTCCGCTACACTGGGTAGCACTTGTAATGAATCTGTACCTGAGTCTTCACAGACCGAATTCTCTGCGATAATTAGAACGGCCGTGAAACATTTCGAGGGCCAGCATATCAAGTTTAAGAAGATCAAGGCGTTGATCGGGCACTAGCAAGTGGCTCTTACAAGGGCGCAAGGTCCGGACGCACTTTGTGCACGTCTCGAGGCCTTCACGAACTTTAAGCTTGTGGTGGAGTGCGCTGTCAATACTATTTGACGAGATCTCAACCTAATTATTGTGCCGGATTGCCGACTGTCAACTGTTGAAGGGGGTACCCCGATACCGCTTATAGACCTTCTCTCGCCTTGTGTACCCGTAGGCTGGCGAGTTTCACTCTTCGGAGGACTAGGTGATGGTGTAGACGTCTTCCCTAATGGAGGTTGACCTGGGGGCGAGAGGATATTCTTTTAGTCGGGGTTTAACCTAGGCGGCGAATTGATCGACTTGGTCGAGAGTGGTCTTATAACCAGTTATATCAGGTACTGGTAGCGCCTGTTCTTTACTTGTCTCAGATTTATTAGCCACATGGCCTTCAAGTTTTTTTCTCCGTTACCACTAAGGTATGGAGACCGCTTCCTATAGCAATCTTATGTTGGGGAGTGCTACTCTACGAACCCGTAGACCAATATTCTTCTTGAAGTTCTAATTACGCTTGTGTCTTACGGACAACTGTCGCTTGGACGAGTGGGCCAAGCAGATGCCTGGCCCAGAACAATTCGGTAGATTTACAAGTTCCTTAGCGCACGACAAGTCGTGTTGCTTAGGTCGCAATTCAAGTAATCTTTAATGTTATCCGATCCTTTAATCTCAATTACTCTATCTTATCTTGCACCTGAGATCGCAATGGTCAGTGGCCAGGAGAGGCCAGACTTTGAGAGGCCAAGTCCACCTATGGGTGCCCAGGTCGGCCAATGAGTGGCCAGGTCGATCTACGGGGGATCAAGGTTTTCCTTGGGCGACCAGGCCGACCGACTAGTGGTTGAGAACGATCCATATCGGTAACGTTTAAATGGTAGCGTCGGTCGGTCTGACCCCGTTGGCAGTAACCTCAACCGTTCGTCACGGTTGGACCCAAAGGCCGCTCCTTTCCTGTGACCCCAATATCTTCGGTCCCTTTCTTGGCCGCAACGTCCCATGTCCATCCGGTTCATCGACCCTTAAGCTCATCATTTCCGAAACTCGCTTCATTACATGTACATCATTATCAATGTGCTGCGTACTGAGTACAAATGCGTGCCATGTTTGTAGCAACGCACTCTTATCTCCTTTGTTGTTCGCGCTGTACCAACGATTCATAAGAAAAGCATCCTGCTTATAGTCCTTCTTAGCGCAAAAGTTGACTGCGCTTATGTCGAGGCCGTGCGGCAGCCTTACATCGAATGATTTAATTCGATGATGTTGACTTGTCTCGCCTCACAAGTCATTCATAAGACTTTCTGAAAGACCTGAAGGCTTGTTTCAATGCTAGAAGCAGCACATTGCCGTATAAACCCTCCTGTGTGGTACCAACGAAGGTCTTGGTACCACTACAAATTGTCATCGCGACGTTGCAACACATTACCGCGCTTGCTAGGAAGCAAATGCGCAGTAGCAGCGCCAGGGATGAGTCATATTACTTATCCTTTGAAATAAGCAGGATCTTGTCGTGACTATGAGCTTGAATACCCGGTCAAATATCGCTTCATAGGCTCATGCTCGATCGACCAATCTGACTCGGGTGACCTAGGCGTCTTCTTCGAGTCGGAATTACCGTCCAACTCCCCCGTGTGATGAGATTCACTTGGTAATCATTATCATCGATGGCAATTGGTGACACACCACGTCTCTGCAGCAACTAGTGCTGCAGGAAGATTTAAAGCAACAGCAGACGAAGCATCGTCTGCGCGAGATTCTGGGCATCGTCAAAAGCAGCTGCGCTAGCCCGTGAAGCTGCCTTCTCAATACCTTTTGCCGCGCATCGCATGAAGTTGTGCACCATGCGATAAAGATCCAAAAATCAGTGGACTGAACCAAGACAATTGCTTTCTGTTCCTGATGTGGTCTAACGGTGACCACATCAACATCATAGTGACTTAGTGATTTCAGTTTAAAGGGGGGTTGTGTGAAGGGGTAAGCCTGTTGCATGCAATCAACCTAAATAATTGTAAGTTGGAATGCTGTCATTAAAGGCTTGTAGTCTCCGTTAATATTACCATAAGGGGTAGTATGTAGAAAAGCTCACCGATTTGCTAATATGGGCCATATTATCAACCAGTTCTGGCGGTCCAATAAACGATGGACGCGCGCAATGTAAGGTGAGAAAATCTTTAGCATACACTTTTGTATATAAATAAAATTAGTACTAAACCAAACATAGGATAATGTATTTGGAACTTGATAATATACAATGCAGTTTACTTTCTACTCCTATTGAACGCGTCGTTCAATGGTTAGTGTAACGGGCACCCTGAAGCTTGTACTGGTGACAGTACAAGCTACTTATTCTGATAACAGAATAAGGCGGTGCCTCGTAACTTCACGTACACTCGTACGTGCAGAGGAAGACGGTAAGAAGAAGCGAGTACTTGGTTAGAGTAAAAAGTAGAACTGTGTTTATAATAGTTAATGTCTGCAATAAATCACTATTTATCTTCATCTAACTATGTCTAAATACAAATGTGTAAATCAGTTATCTGCTCACCACTCATTGCGTGCGTCTGTCGTGGCGCGTCTTCGTTGGTTGATATAATGGCCTATATCAACCAATTAGGAACTACTTGGAAGTGCTACAGAATATTGTCCTTATGACAATATTCTGAGAATATAACTCTTATAGTTATATTCTATTAACAATTTCTTATAAATTGTTATGTAACGATTCACCCCGTTACATCACCCCCTTAACCATCAGTCACTTTAGTGACTGATTGACTAAATGGATACTCGTCCCAAATCATTTGGGACGGGGTTTGCACTTGTTGGTCCGCGTCCACTTTCCAACATCTCATCGCATGGTAAACAAGCCCATGCGATGCGCGAGCAAGGCCGCCGAGAGCGCGTCTGCACGTCTCTGTGCGGACGCCGAAGCAGAAACTACAGCAACTGATGTCCCATCGGTTGCTGAATCGACTCAGCCTGTATCACCTGGTGATGCAGGCGCTGGTCATGAAGACACTCGTGTCTTCACAGAGTACGAGCTCGGTGTCTCGTACTCTCCTGATACGGATGACGGATCCGTATCGACGGCAATTGAATCCAAGCCGCCTGCCAAGCGTGGCATGGACGATGCTTTGCGTCGCAGCATCTTTGGTTCATCTGATGAATCAGATGAACCATCGCCGAAGCAAAGGCGCTCGAGGTCGCGAGACTCGGGCGCTAATAGTGGTGTCGTTTCTCCAATGGACACCACTTCACAGCGAGGTGCCAGTACTTCTGTCGGCACGTCGCAGGAAGAGCGGGACCGCAATGTGTTGCGTCTCGCTCCAGAAAAGAAGGCATGGATGCCTCCTAAATCCGTCATGGATCACTTGTCGGCGACGACGAGTGATCGTTATCGAACACGATTGTTCGATTCGTCGAGGATTCATCACCTTGACCCCAGCGCGAAAGACTATCGCGCTGAACATGAGTTCTTCATCGATGCTTTCTTCAGACATCGATGGTACAGTGGGAATCACAAACGTGATGGTCCCTCACTACTTCAGGCGTGGAACGCCTACATCCATAATCTCGAGGATGTAGGTCGTGACGCTTGGAACGACAAACTTATCAAAGCTCGTGATAAGTTTGAAAAGCGAACCCCGACAGGTGCACGCTATAAGCTGCATCGTCTGTCAAGGGAGAAAGGATTACCCTGCCTCTCTTGGGGAGACTCGTGCCCATGTTGTGTGAACAACTCTGCACGAGCACCTAAGGAGGCTTACCTCCTTACCAGCCCGTGGTGGCGCGTACGTGTCTCTACTGAGATGTACGAAGGGATTGACAACCTGAAATCCCTTTACGACCGTGCCGGGAAGACTTTCTCCGGCGGTCCTTCTGCGGCACAGGATGTGTCGCGTCGTACTGCTCGACCAGACCCAGTACGTCAACCATCAATTGGGAGCGGGGCTCCCAAGAATCCCAGGACGGGGGATAGCCGCGCCACCGGACGAGGTAACTCGTCCGACGTCCAGTTTACGTCGCGGTGGTTCAACAGCTGCTCAACTAGATAGCGCTGGCCACCGCGAGAGTCCTCTAATGGAGGTGGAGGAGGAGGAAAGACGCTCTCCACACGATCATGTGGATCGGTGTGTTCCCGAGAGCTTCTTTGATCGCGTAACGCAAGGGTTACGCGACGATCTCGAGCATGAGCGGAATAGGCGTCTCCAGATGGTGGACACTGCCTCGAAGCATCGAGCTGAGTTTGCCTTTGCTCAGCTTGAGAACGAGAGATCTCTGACATCTCTTCGTGACGAGCTAAGGGTAGCTCGTGGGATTGTTGATCGGTCTCGGGCTGAGATAACTGCTCTTCAGACCCTTGTTGATGCCCACCATCGGGAGCACAAGGCTCTCTGCGAGATGCTTGAGCGCAAGGGCGTTCTTCATCGGAAGAAGCAGCGTACTGATGGTACGGCTTAAGCCGACCAACGTAAAACGTGGGATGCGTTCGCATCTTACGTGGTAACTCGATCGTGTATGCATTGCCTAGGCGGTGCAATACACGAAATGGGCCAATGTACTTGGGTAGTAGTTTACTGCTACCCAAGTTAGTCACTACATGCTTTGGTAGATTAACCGTAGACAGTAGGACTAAGTCACCTTTATTAAATAAAAGAGTGTTTGCCCTTCCATTCTTGTCAGCGTTTTGCTTTTGCTTATCCACCGCTTCGGCGATGGAGTCTTGCACAAAACGGACTACCGTTTCACGAGCCAGTATGAACTCATCTGATGACTCGTTAGCTTCAGTGTGCTGTGAGCGCACTGCAGCGACAACAACCTTTTCTTCAGTGAGGGCTTCCGCACTCTCACTGGGATCATTGTCTTCAGTGAGGGCTTCCGCACTCTCACTGGCATCATCTTCTTCGATATCGATGTTATCGATATCGGCATCAAACGCAATGACTTCTTCGTCAGAGCGTGATGAGCGTGAACCAAATCGGTTTTTGCTCGCGCGAGTCCCTCCCCCCTTAAACCAGAGTTACACTCTAGTAAGGTGGGTACACGCGGATGGCGCAAGCCATTCACGTAAAACGGTGTATGTGTCGTGGACGCATGCACCGAGTTGTTGATGGCAAACTCTACCATCGGCAAAAACTCACTCCAACTCTTAAAGGAGTGGACGTATCCTCGAAGTATCTCTTCAAGGACACGATTGGCACGTTCCGTCTGACCATCTGACTCTGGATGATCAGATGTTGACATCTTCAAGCGCGTTCCGGGTGATTTGAACACGGAACGCCAGAAATCAGCAGTGAATCGTGGATCTCTGTCTGATACGAGTTCACGGGGCAACCCATGAAGTCGGAAGATGGTGTCAATAAAGACACAAGCACAGCCACTTGCCGTGATTGTCTCTGGTACAGCCACAAGGTGTACCATTTTGCTGAATCTGTCAACAAATACGAGAATACCCGTATTCCCGCGTGCGTCTTTGGGTAACCCGAAGACGAAATCCATTGAGATGGATTCCCAGCACTCAGCCGGAACCGGTAGAGGCTGTAAAGGTGCACGCAGTGAAGGACTTGACTTCACTCGTTGGCAGACTTCGCATGCGCGAACATACTTTCGCACAAACTGATACTGGCGGGGCCAGTAAAAGTCTCGACTTACCGTGATATATGTTTTCTCTCGGCCACGATGTCCTCCTATAGGAGCATCGTGATACTCGAACATGATCCGCAAACGCAGATCAGTATCATCTGGAATGACAACACGTGGTGTGTCACCAGAAACGGCTGTATAGTACAGTAAACCGTTACGAGTAGTGTATCGATCTGATGCAGATCGATACGCAGACGACAATCGTTTCAGCGATTCTCGAGATGGTTGGGAGAGATGTGACAACAACTTCACTATCTCACCATCTTGGGCGTATGCCCGCCTCACATCATCATACAACGTTGTAGATGGAACTGAGGACGTCATAACCGCAACAGTGACTGTCTCACTGTTGGGTTTCGCGACTGTTTCAAAGTCGGGACGACGTGAGAGTGCATCAGCGACGACATTAAGTCGTCCTGGTTTGTACTCGACCGTAAAGTTGTATTCTGCAAAGAATGACAACCACCGCGCCATTCGTTGTGAAAGGTGCGGGCTGTTCACTGACGTGCGTAAGGACGCATGGTCAGTGTAAACAACGAAGGGTAATCTCCTAATAGATAGACTCTGAACTTCGCGAGTGCATACTTCATGGCAAGGAGTTCCTTTTCATGCACTGGATAGTTCCGCTCAGCTGGTTGCAGCTGACGCGACTGATAGCAGACGACGCGTTCAACGCCTTCAAGGTCGTACTGCATTAATGCACAGCCGATTGCGAAATCGCTGGCATCACAGACCACATGAAATGGCCTGTCCTGATCGGCTATTGCTAGGACTGGGGATTGTATCAAGCTCTGCTTGATACCCTCAAAGGAGCGTTGACATTCAGCGTTCCATAACCACCTCTCGTTCTTTTTCAACAAACGAGAGAGGTGTACAGTCATCTCGGCGTAATTGCGTGAATACTTATGCAAATACGCCGCTAGCCCAAGGAATTTTCGAAGACCTTTGACATCGACCGGCACGGGCCAGTCGGTGATCGCCTTGATCTTTTCGGGATCAGGACGTACACCGTTCTTACCAACGATGCACCCAAGAAGTGGTATTTCGCTTGCTGCAAATATACACTTCTTGAGGTTTGCATACAATTGATGCTTTCGCATGATTGTAAGAACTTGTCGGACGTGGTACTTGTGAACCTCAACGTCCGACTTTCCATCCATAGCTCGACTATGGATGAATACGTCATCGAAATAACTCGGCGCGAATTCTCGTACTGGCCTCAACAGATGTGATACACACCTGTTGAACGTGGCAGGGGCATTACTGAGCCCTTGTGGCATTACTAGCCATTCCCAGAGCATGCCGCTAGGCGTGCTAACTGCGGTATAGGGTATATCCCGTTCCGCATTAGGATTTGATAGAAGCCATCCATCAAATCCATGGACGAAAAGATGGTACTCTTTGACATACCATCAATGATTACGTCCTTCCTCGGTATCGGCGTCTGAGCCGGTACCGTTGCAGCGTTCAATTTGTTAAACGCGTGCACTATCCGCCACCCTCCTGTTGCTTTTCGCACACAGAAGGTCGGAGAGCTATGTGGGGAAGTTGATTCCCTCACATGGCCCGCTGCTAAACGATCGGCAAAGAACTTGTCGATCGCAAGTACTTGTCCACGAGGCAGTGGCCACTGCTTCATGACACAGTACTTCGAGCCTGGTTTAAGCTCGACTTCGTGTCGAATACCTTTATCCTTCGGTAATTCGCACGGAACAGTTTCAGGGAATACATCCTTGAATTCAACCAAATCTTCATAGAGAGGATTTTCCTTGAGCGATTCCCATGATTGGGACTCATATCGCTCAATTCGTGTCTTTTCATCTAGGACACTCTCGTCCATAGATGAACTACTGAGAACTCTCTCGTTCTCAGTAAACACTGTTGCTGACCTTATGTCGGTTACATACTCGTCTTCAGCGACGAGTATGCAGATCTGCTTGACTTTGCCACTACGCAGATCACGCAAGAATCTTTTATGTTCGAGCGTTGGCAACTGAGTGATCTCCGAAGTTAACTTCGGAGGCGCAATCAGATCAAGTGTATAAGCGCCTACACATGATCCGTTATTGACTATGACATTCAATGTCTCTGTCATTTCCTGGGGACTTATTCCCTCAGGCTTCGAAGGACTTATTCCTTCGTCTACCCGGGGACTTATTCCCGCGGGTTTCGGGGAACTTATTTCCGCCGTATTTGTAATCTTGGGACTTATTCCCTTTACTTCCTCTAGCTGGGGTTGCGCAACCACAGCGAGATCCTCTACGAAAGACTCTCCAGTCGATCTAGGATTATCGTTTCGCTTAACCTGAGCGATCGATGGTTTCTCTTCTAGATGTTCCCCTCTAGGGATACATCTTTGTCCCAGTCCACCCGACTTATTCGAGTGGTGGACCTTCGGCGCAGCCTGTGTTTCCTCACAGCCGCCGGAACTTTGCTCCGAAGTGTAACCGTTTGGTACACTAAGGTTTTGTGCAGTCGTACTAACGACCGTACCACAAGTGAGGCCATCGCACTCACTCGTAGTAGATCCACACGCTTGTGGACGCTCCAAAACGTTCATCAGATGGCCATCTGATGAACAAGCGGCAGGCATCGTTACTGTCCGATGTTGCCAGTTTACCCGTGGTTCGTACCTTCTGAGCCACGGTATTCCAAGGATGACATCAAATTTGTCATCCAAATCCAATACGATAAAGTCATCGTCGTATTGGGTATCTTCTAGCGTATAGTGAATCTTCACTATACGCTTCATGACGGTTACGGATGCGCCTGTCGCAAGACGTACCGTCATCCTCGTAGGAGGTGTGTCACATTCACTGAATTTAAAGTGACCATCTTCTAGCGATTGGCGTCGCACAAAATTGTTGGACGCCCCACAATCGACTAGAGCTCGAAGGGACAACTTATTCGTCACTTCGAGTTTCAAGGTAATGAGTGAGATCTCATTACCTAGAGCAGCAACGCACAATGTCTGTGTGTTGGGAGCAACCTTCATCAAGAGGCCTACAAATTCTCTTGACGTTGCTGGATCAGTAGGGTGCTCCGCACCTACTGATCCTGTCCGTTTTTTGACGGTCCATCCCGTTGTTGCGTCTTTGCACCAACTGCGGACCCTCGTCCCTGCCCCTTTCTCATGGGTGGACGGTCACTACGCCCAGTGTCGCGAGACACTGGACGAGGGGCACTACACTCGTAAGCGTAGTGTCCTGTCTTTTGACATCTGTTGCATCTCTGCAACTTCTTGTAGCCTGTAGAGCGAGCCTTCTCGCTCTCTACATAACAGAGTTCCATCGGCTCTGGACCTCCGTTGTCATATCGTCTCGGTTGACGATATGATGTCGAGCTGGCGCGAGCCTGTCTCAGACTGAAGTCTTCCTGCTCCGCAATTGAAATGGCTTGTTCTAGTGAATCT